TACACACAACATACACAGACACATAACGACACAGACACCGACACACCAACAAGTAGTAGAGAGTGCCCCACTACATTCAGATGATATTTGCATATTTTGACCTCCCCAAGATGGCGTGAGTGGATTGGTTCCAGAGATAGGCTCGCCACTTTCGGGAATAACGGCAGAATGCAGTCTGCGCTGTGTATTATGCTGCTATTCACGAGATCCAACCAGCCATGAACTACATTTGACCAATCAAAACTCACGCCTGGCCCAGTGACCAATCGGACATGTGTTTATCAAATGTTATGTCAGGTCACAGTGGTTAGTTTACGCTCAATAGAAACTGGGTAGAGCCGATATAAAGACAGAAGACGACTTATGGACAACACATGACTTAAGGACAACACATGGCTTATGGACAACACATGACTTAAGGACAACACATGACTTATGGACAACACATGACTTAAGGACAACACATGACTTATGTGCATCACACGACTTAAGGACAACACATGACTTATGTGCATCACACGACTTAAGGAAAAAACAAGACTTATGGACAAAACGTGACTTTTGACTGTGCAGCACACGACTTATGAACAGCTGACAAAGCTCGTCCACTTCTTAATATAACTGCTTACTTAGTTAATTTTAAATAGCATCCATGGATAGCTTACATTACCGTGGATAGTATAAACGTCTTGTGGATAGCATACATTACAGGATAGTCTACCTTCTTGTTGATAGCATATAACGATAGCATACGTTAATGCGGATAGCATATCTTATGAAGAGAGCAAATGTTTCTGAAGATAGAATTCAGTACTGAGGATAGTATACCTTCTTGTCAATAGCATACTTTACTACGGAGAGCATACTTCACTAAGGTTAGCATACTTTACAAAGGAGACTACACTTTTCTATGGATAGTATACTGTACTAAGGATAGCATACTTTACTAAGGCTAGCATACCTTCTCAGCGATAGCATACATTACTCAGATTAGCATCCCATCTTGGGGATAGCATACCTTCACGGAGATAGCATACTTTACTCAGGGTAGCATACCATCTTGGGGATAGCATACCTTCACGGAGATACTTTACTGGGGACAGCAAACTTTCTTGCTGATAATCAACTGGCACGCGGATGACACACATTAATTTCGAATAGTAAGCCAGGACAATTAATATCGGGGAGGATACATTAGTGTGGATACCATACCAATTTTGTGGATAATCCCGACGGTAGTTAGCGTGGAATTTTGTTGAAAGTATACCCTGTTCAAGGTAGCGTACCTTTTTGCTAATAGCGTTTTCTCTTCTGGAAGCGTTTCCTCTTCCCGATAGCATTCCATTTCGTGGACAGCACACTCTCTTGTGGATAGCACACATTAATGTGGATAATATATCTATGCGCATGATTGCATATTTATAGCATTCTCTTTGAAACGATAATTTTTTCCGCGATAAAAATTACAACTTAACTAGCCATAGTTAATTTTTCTTGTTACAAATTTCAAATCCTGGAAGAATGACAGCTTGTTCTTTAAGCAAGAAACATCGGGGGTTGAACCGGGTGTGAAGGTTGTGGGAAATCGGGGGTGGAGGTGGGGGGGGGGGGGCATGTGGGGAAGATGCGCCATGTGACTAGCTTCTAAGATCAAATGCTGGAACTGAAAGTCATGTGACTATGGGGTATATAGTCATATGGGCGATGCTTTTCTCGAATTATGGTTCTTGTTTAAACCCAGCCCCTTTCTATTGAATAAATTAATTTTTACTTAGCCTTCTACATGGTATGCAGATTACAAAGCCAAACCTAACTTTGTGCTAATTCACACTGGTAAATGGATGATTGGTGGGCTAACAAAAACAAATCTCCTAATTTTGCGAATAACTCTGATGCGTTTTATGACCTAACAATTTATGAATTCTAGGGAAACTTTGCTGTTTCTATGACTCAAGAAGATCTGTCACCCAGTATTATGACATAATTATTGATGAAGAAAACTTCGTTATGACCTGATAATTTATAAAGACCTTTTGACGAGGTGCTATGATCTAACCATTGACAAAGATCGGAGATAATGTGCTATACAGCCTCACACAAAATTGAGCGTACAAGTCGACCAAGGTAACGCCGTCTGGAGAATGTCAACAGGGACTGTGTACCGCGGATCATCGGGTAAACAAGGACCAGGGTCACGTGTCATCATGGCCGGGCATCCCAACTCGAAGAAAATAACGCCAATTTTTTTTTCTACACATACCGCTAACAAATAGAGATGGTTAGGCAAAATTTGAAGGCAAGTCAGGATTTTTGTTTTTTTATTAGGCTACGAGTCAGGGGGGGGGGGGGGGGGCGAAGTTTAAAAAAAATATTATCTGTTTGTGTAAGTGTTTAAAGCCCAGTCGACATAAGGCAATTAGATTTGATTGGTTAGCACCTTTTGCCTAGTAGGCTAGTTTTGTTCGCCCCATTAGGTTCTCAGCCCCATCTCACCCCCCCCCCATTAACTGCTAATGTGTGTAATGTGTGTGGGTGTGTACAGCGTGTAGCCAATCGCCGTGCATCTACACGTATTTCCGGTCCTATGCGTGACAAAAATTTCCCGCTCGAAATGTCAAGGCGGGCGACATTTTAAAAAATTGCAAAAAAAGTTTTTTAGACCCTCATACATACGGGCAACCAATTACAGTTCTCTTAATAAGAATTTATAGTACATGCACTCCAAATTGGAGAGTAATAATTAGGATTTACTACTAGTGGCCCAGCGGTAGAGAGCTGGACTGCTAACCCGTAAGTCTCGAGTTCGAATCCGGGTTCAAGCTAATAGACCGTTCCAGAGTCCACACGGCTCTGAAGGGTACCTAACTCACGTTAGGGAAAGTAAAGGCGGCTGGGGATAGTGCTGACCATACTATCCCTTCATATGCCGAGGTCGCAGAAACAGGTGAACTCTACTTCACTTGCCCATAGACTGCCAGGTTTGAAAGGGGAACTTTACTACTAAGTATACTTTTTACAAAATCGGCTATGGCGAGTAAATGGGTGAAAGTTATCGGTAAATCTTGTACCCACATTTATTTATTATCTGGACTGTGTCTTGAGGGGGCATGTTGGAACTTGGCTAAAGCTTGCTGGGAAAATGTCCAGTTAGGTGCAAGCAAGAATCTGTATGGCCCTCTGACAACACATTCACACACAAAACATCAACATTCATTCACAAAACATCAACATTCATCTACTAAACATCAACATTCATCCACAAAACATCAACATTCATCCACAAAACATCAACATTCATTGACAAAACATCAATATCCTTTCACGACATCGGATGTAATACGCCACTCATATTTGATCATCTGTCATTATCTTTGATAATCTTTCTCTGATAATATCTGATCATGTTTGGTCATCTTTGATCATCTGTGATCATCGTTGTACTACACGTCTTGATAGTCACCCGTCAAACTAAATTTCTAAAAGGGGTCTCATGGACTGAACGTTATCCTGGGACCAAGGGACTCTGACATAATAACAGCAAATTTAATCTTATTTTTTTGTTATACGGCATTAGCTAGGGTCCCCAAATATTTTGGAATTTGTTAAGCTAAATATTAGTTTGTCTTTTTATATCTTCGATGATTAGGGTTAAGACTATGGTTAGTGTAACGGCATGGGTTAGGACTAGAGCATGGATTAGGGTAAGGGTAGAGTCACAGGGACGATAACTGCAATACACTTTGACTAAAACTAGAAACTAATTATGTACTTTTTCTGTGTTTTACCTATGTATCTGTGTACGTTTGAGAAAGTACCGATACCTTTTGTCGGTATCGATATACTTGACGTGTGTTATTTTGCTGAATTATTTACACACAAATATGAAAACATTTACATACAATGCAAGAAATATTTAAAACACGAGAATTATTTCCATTCAATAAACGATAAATATTTGCATACAAACACTAGAAATATTTACATACAAACACGAGAATTATTTACATGCAAACAAGAGATATATTTACACACAAATAAAGACAAAAAATATTTATATACAAATACACACCAGAAATATTTAAACACTAATAAACACGAGACATTTTCATTCAAATAAATTTACAAACGCACAGGATTCCTATTTACATACACATAAACACCCACAAAACATTCATGTGTTGTTTTCTAATCAATTTTTTTGCTGTTGTGCTTCTACCGGGAGTGGCGTAGCGAGGTTTTATTGGTCGTCTGCTGTGTTTGAATTGGTTGAAATTGTTCAAACGTCGACACGACCGGAGCAAACAAGGTCGTATGCGACTACAAACACCAGCAGACGACACCAACGCCGGACGTAAAGACCAACGGAATTTTTCACAGATGAAGCAGACGGCAAATGGCGCGTAAACACGTAGCCGGGCAGACGCAGTTTTTGTTGTCGCTTTGTAAAATTACAATGTCGAAATGGATAAATTAAAAAAAAAAACATCTTTCAAAAGTGTATTTTTTAAATAGTCAAATATTAATGCTAGTTATCTAAGAATTTGTTTAGTGAATTTAAAAAATAAATAAGCGCCTGATTAAGTTACTTATTTTAGACGTAATTTTTATAATACCCTACATATTTTATTATTGAATATGTTTACCAAACGGCTGTGCCATTAACTGTTGTCTATCATGGGTGTTGGAGGGGGTTGTTTTTCATGCTGCTGACTGTGTTGTGTGTTTGTGTGTCTGTATGGTGATAGTTGTGTCCTGGAGGTTTTGTCATAAATTAAATGTACTATCCTAGAGTGAGATTTTATAAATTCCAGGAGCTGATGACAAACTATAACAAAGATCACCATTGTGTTAAATCCCACAAAACAGGCCGAAGTTTCGATTTCTGTTTTGTTGGACAAAGGGACAGAACCATTAAAATACATTATGAAATAGATTATCTCCCTTTTGCCGCACTTAAATTTCTCAAAAAGAAAACACCTTAGCACACGTCATATGCGCTTAACACTTTTAATTTTCTTCAAGTTTATACAAATATAAAAAGTACTTACAAAATATTTACATGGTTATACAGTCCAATATTGTAAAATGCATATAAAACATGAACGCGATAATTGTAAAAAAATACCTTTTCGTATGTTACACTGGAACATATTATTTCAGTCATATAATATGTCATTGGCCACTGTCATGTCTTTGTCATACTAACTTTATGTCATCACAAGCCATATTCATGTCTATGTCACGCTATTGTCATGTCACGCCATTTCATGTCATCAGTCTTCCCTGGTTGTCTAGTAGTTTACAGATTTAAAAAAAAATAGAACTCTCTACTGCTCTAGAAAGATAAAAAAGAGGACCGTGTCTTGATTTATGGACAATCAAATCTACGAAAAAACTGTAATTAATTAAAAGTACATTTGATAGTACTTAACAAAAAATACTCGTTGAATATTAGATATCATAGACTAAAATATAGTTGTAAGCTTTAGGGACAAAGTGGCAATATGCTTAGTTCAGGACCAAAACAGTATGCCAGATAATCGCATCCAATGGTTGCTAACGTAAACTACCATGGGGTTTCGATACTGCAGAGCTATAAAATTTATTTGCATTATAATACATCAGATAAGGTATAAGCAAAATCCTGATATCCCAAACATGTCATATATTGCCATAGTAACATGTTTGTTATTGTAGTCTGGTAACAAAAAAGTAGTAAAAAAATAGGGCAACATTCGTTATGTCATGGTCACACGTCATAAATTTGTCATATGCCTTCATAGTCATACAAGTTATCAGTTATTGTTGTAATTTTTACTTTGCATTTCCGCAAAGATCTATTCAATTTTTTTATAATCATTAGGTCTTCGGTCTTCCATAGTAAACATACATGTGTGTTATAGGAATGGAATTGTATCCATAGATTTTGTGAGTGAAGTGATACGGTATACATTCACTGTATCCACCCCTACTAGGATCACCCCCTGACGTCATTGGGCTAGCACGTCATGCTTTCAGTTTAGCGAGGGCGTCCCGTCTGTTGACCGGGACAGTGGGGATCCCCTGGCCAAACATTCCATCCCGTCCAATCTTCTCGAATGTGTTGGCATTATGGGACGCCAACATGGCGTTGGTGCTTCGAAAGGTCGACACTTCCGGTTTGGCCTAAGGAAGAGAAAATCATCCACTACGTTTTACAAAAACGATGTGTTTCTTCACAATTATAACAAGATAAACAGCTAATCTGTTAACATAATAATAAATGCAAAAACTTATTTAATACCTTAAAATACTATTCGCTCTCGTAAATAACTTTTTTTGAGTAAAAAAAAAATAACTTTAGTTAATTAACTATAGAGCAAATTTGGGCTCTATAAGCTAATGATTCAAATCCCAAAAGAATTGAAATATCTGGACTAGAAGCCACAAACAATAAACTCTAAGCGCCTTGGACTATCGATATCTAGGAACACTAGAATATCATAATCGAGAGGCCCAAGGTATTTAAACCTCTAGACCCCAGACAATGTTAAATGTATAGGCACCTGACTACATAAATTACATGGGTACTAGCACTAGACAATGTAACATCTAAGGGCGCTAGACAAGGAAAATCATTTATGAGCCCTAGATCATGTAAGTCCATGAGCGCCAAAAAAAAAAATGGAAAATTGGGGATTCACAAAGTAGCCAGTTTAGACCATCCTGACAGTAGAAAATGTAGCTTAGTGTAGGCACGTATTACTTTTAAAATGTTGGCACGTATTACTATAATATGTTGAAACAAACCTCTTGTGTTTTCACAAACCATAAATACTATATCAAGTAGAACAGCGACAACCTACAAACTAGATCCAAACACGCACCTCTAAACTTTTAAAATGACATGAGCCAGTTATTCCACTCAAGCAAACACACACATTGAAGCAAGACAGTTACTAAATAGGGGGATAAACTGCACATATTTACTTTGTTTACAAATTTCGACATCTGCCACAGGCGCTCGGGTTTGAGATTTGCCGAGGTGTTGAACATTCTCAGTTTGTAGGCGTTGTTTTCTTTCCAAGGATCCGGCTAGGAAGAGACATGGTTTTAAACGGAGATTGATTCATACACAACTCAGGGAGGGTGTGGTTAATGATGGAGGTCAATGGCCTCTAAAGCAGAGTTTCTTTCAGGCATCTTTTTTCATCCTCCCCCCCCCCCTCCCCCGAAAACCCGGAAAATTTAGCCCCCCCCCTCCCCCGGAGAAAAAAATCTGAAAGAAACACTACACTAAAGTGTGAAGGGAATGATGAGAATGACCTCGGGTTAATGACAGGAAAAGGTAATAGTATTGACGAAAAGTAATGCCAGAGAGTGGTAAAATGAAGGTTCACGAACATTCAAAATATTGCGGGGAATGACAGAAATTAAGGTATGTGTGTGTGTGTGGGGGGGGGGGGAGGCTATTAACAAAGTGTTCATGTAAACGAAATGGTTGTTAAAATTGACATTCGTAACGGAGGGGGGGGGGGTGGTAATTGACCGAGGGTTCATGAAAGGATAAAATCGTGAGAACGACAAACGTTTGATATTCTACTCTAGCGAATCCCGTGGGAAGGCCGGTCTTACCTTAGATGGCTCCTCCTGGATCTGGGTGAGGTACGGCTTGACACAGCTGACCCAGTCTCTGTGGGCCTGGTAGGAAATGATCTCACCCACTGTCGACGTGTACCTGGGGAGGACCGAGTCACGTGATCGGGTAAAGTGTATGGAAAATATAAAGCAGAATAAAAGTAATCGATAATAGATAAGAAATAATGTTACAAGCTTTAGCCATACGTTGTTTGATGTTACGTGTTCTTATGTGTGTATTCTACATCTGTTTTACAAGTTTAAGCATCAAAATAACTTATCATTGTCTAGTTAAATAAAATGTTTTTCTTCAAATGAAATGGGATAAGTTTAGCATATATGGTCAGCATCTAATTGTGTGAATCGCCAAGATGAACCCCAGCAGACCTTCAGCTGGATGACCCATTGACCAGTAAGGTTACTGGTAGTAAACTACTAACAAACGTCTTGTTAATCTCAATGCAAACCCTATCCCTCACAATATCCCCAACACTATCCCTCACAATATCCCCAACACTATCCCTCACAATATCCCTAACACTATCCCTAACACTATCCCTCACAATATCCCCAACACTATCCCTAACACTATCCCTCACAATATCCCCAACACTATCCCTAACACTATCCCTCACAATATCCCTAACACTATCCCTAACACTATCCCTCACAATATCCCTCACAATATCCCTAACACTATCCCTAACACTATCCCTCACAATATCCCTAACACTATCCCTAACACTATCCCTCACACTATCCCTAACACTATCCCTAACACTATCCCTCACAATATCCCTAACACTATCCCTAACACTATCCCTCACAATATCCCTCACATTATCCCTAACACTATCCCTAACAATATCCCTAACACTATCCCTAACACTATCCCTCACAATATCCCTAACACTATACCTAACAATATCCCTCACAATATCCCTCACAATATCCCTCACAATATCCCTAACACTATCCCTCACAATATCCCTAACACTATCCCTATTCGTATCTATCTGCATGTGACAGTGGGGTAATTGATGGGGGGTAATGGTCTACTGCAGTTTTTTGGGAGTGGGTAATGTAGTGAAGGGGATATTTGATAATTGATCCGGGGATAATGACGGAGAAGGGGAGAGGGAGGAAGGGTGGAGAAAACCAGCATGTTATTACCAGAGGGAGGGTTAATATATTCCCTGAAACCTAGATGTTAAACCTAGTCAAATCACAGCACTTTAGCACTGCGTAATGTCTTGCCCCGACTCTAAATGAATGACAATAAACTAAACTGGCAACCTAACAAAATACAATTTTTTTTTTTTTTTTTTTTTTTTTTTTTGAAGAGCAAAATTGGACATCACCTTAACCAATAATCTTAACATTGTTTTGTCTTAACAAGTAACAGTTAAAACACCCAAATCTCTTCTTACGTCACCCCCGGGGCTACCAGCCCCACCCCCTAAAGCCAACAGACTTACTTTGTAGGTTGTCCGAAGCACGCGCCAGGCAGAAGTGAGACAGGTGGCGCCCTCTCCAGGACCAACCTCTTATCTCTCTTGGTGAACTTGATGGAGTGCGTGTTCCTGAAGTCCCGTAACTCCTTCACGTTGGCGATACCTGCCGTGATGGCCGCCCGGTTCAAGGCAAGATGGTTCGTGCAGCCGATCTTCTAGGACACATTAGTCATATGTTTGGTGTGTCTTGGTGGTTTAGACATGTTAGGACACATTAGTCACATGTTTGGTGTGTCTTGGTGGTTTAGACGCCTGGACACATTAGTCACATGTTTGGTGTGTCTTGTTGGTTTGGACGTGTCCGGACACATTAGTCACATGTTTGGTGTGTCTTGGTGGTTTAGACATGTCAGGACACATGTTTGGTGTGTCTTGTTGGTTTGGACGTCAGAACACATTAGTCACATGTTTGGTGTGTCTTGGTGGTTTAGACATGTCAGGACACATTAGTCACATGTTTGGTGTGTCTTGTTGGTTTGGACGTGTCCGGACACATTAGTCATATGTTTGGTGTGTCTTGGTGGTTTAGGCATGTCAGGACACATTAGTCATATGTTTGGTGTGTCTTGGTGGTTTAGACATGTTAGGACACATTAGTCATATGTTTGTGTGTCTTGTTGGTTTAGACGTTAGGACACATTAGTCATATGTTTGGTGTGTCTTGGTGGTTTAGACATGTCAGGACACATGTTTGGTGTGTCTTGTTGGTTTAGACGTGTTAGGACACATTAGTAACATCTTTGGCGCGTCGTAGAGTTTAAACGATTTTAAATGATAGGACACATTAATCAATTGTTTTGTGTGTCATGTTTTTTTAAATACTTTTAATGCCCTACAAGTGATATATGAAGATTATAGTAAGGTTATACAGATAATTTATGAAGAATCTAAAGTCCTAGATGTGAGATATGAAGATCACAGTAAGATCACAGTGGTAATATATAAAGATTATAGCAAGTTATTACGGTGTTATATGAAGATGTCATTAAGTATATATGAAAACTATAGTAAGATAGTTGAGATGATTTATGAAGATTATAGTATGGTAATTAAGGTTATATAAAAAGATTACCTTTTTCTTCGGTAAACAAGGTAAGACCGGCGGTTTGTCCTCACTCCAGCTACTCAAGGCTGAATCAAAGTCAAAACTTTTAGAGTATAGGCCAAAGTAGTGAAACACTGTGGCTATCATTGGTTAAAGCACTAAAAAACTGTGGCTAACATTGATCAAAGCACTAAAACACTGTGGCTATCATTGACCAAAGCACTAAAACACTGTGGCTATCATTGACCAAAGCACTAAAACACTCGCTATCATTGGTCAAAGTACTAAAACACTGTGGCTATCATTGGTCAAAGTACTAAAACACTCGCTATCATTGGTCAAAGTACTAAAACACTCGCTATCATTGACCAAAGCACTAAAACACTGTGACTATCATTGACCAAAGCACTAAAACACTTTAGCTATCATTGACCAAAGCACTAAAACACTGTGGCTATCATTGACCAAAGCACTAAAACACTCGCTATCATTGGTCAAAGTACTAAAACACTGTGGCTATCATTGGTCAAAGCACTAAAACACTCGCTATCATTGGTCAAAGCACTAAAACACTCGCTATCATTGGTCAAAGTACTAAAACACTGTGGCTATCATTGATCAAAGTACTAAAACACTATGGCTATCATTGACCAAAGTACTAAAACACTGTGGCTATCATTGGTTAAAGTACTAAAACACTTTGACTATCATTGACCAAAGCACTAAAACACTGTGACTTCCCCTTTCTATCTTCCCCAACTCAGAAGCGTTATAAGGCAGGGGGGTGGGGCAGACGGTCAGGGCTTGCGACATCCACGGATGATTCTTCTCAAGGGGTGAGACCAAGTGAATTTTTAAAAAAAATCCAGTTAAATAATGAAATAGTAGGGGGAGAGGTGATACCAAACCGAAAACCCAACATTGTTCCAGGGGGTGGGTTGGGGGGGGGGGCGAAAGGGGAGGGGTCACCATCAATTACCGCAACTGGTAACATCCGATTTTTGTGGCGCCACTGCCCTATTTATTACATGAATTCCATGAATCAAAACTAACATTCTCACGCCCTCAACATCACTGTACTAGCTACATCTTCACTTCTTTAAACTTTCTGAACATATCCAACAACACAAATCTCCAACCATATGAAGCAAACGAATCATCCTTTCAATTCAATAAACGAACCCAAAACCTCACACCCCTTTGAAGGAATGAGCCAACCCTACGCCTTGCACCCCTTTCAGGGAATGAACCAACCCTACCTTGAGCAACAGACCCTGAAGGTTGAGGTAAACTTCCAAAGATAAAATCATCACACGGCAAGTTTTTGATGTGCCATTTACCTTGGCCCAAGCGATGCTGTGGAGACGAAGGGGTGGATGGGAGGGTAGGAGGGGCTGTAAGAGATTAGGATTTAACCAGTATTTTTGTCAACATCACGGACATGAATTACATTTGATTAAAATGTAATGACAGAGAGATGTAACGACATCACTTACTCTCGTAGACTTCTAGGTATAATATGTCAAGCGCTCACTTCTACAAGAATACAATCCCCTTATGTCGTTTAAATATGACTAGGACCAAGAATAGTACAAGTACTCATACTATAGACTAGAACCTGTCAGGTAGGCTACTCACGTCATGGAGTAGTACCCACGGCTAGACAAGTACCTATCATAGACTAGTACCTGTCATGTACTCACATCATAGACTAGTACCTGTCATGTACTCACGTCATAGACTAGTACCTGTCATGTATTCACGTCATAGACTAGTACCTGTCATGTACTCACGTCATAGACTAGTACCTGTCATGTACTCACGTCATAGACTAGTACCTGTCATGTACTCACGTCATAGACTAGTACCTTCAAGTACTCACGTCATAGACTAGTACCTGTACTCACGTCATAGACTAGTACCTGTACTCACGTCATAGACTAGTACCTGCCATATACTCACGTCATAGACTAGTACCTGTACTCACGTCATAGACTAGTACCTTCATGTACTCACGTCATAGACTAGTACCTGTACTCACGTCATAGACTAGTACCTGCCATGTACTCACGTCATAGACTAGTACCTGTCATTTACTCACGTCATAGACTAGTACCTGTCATGTACTCACGTCTTAGACTAGTACCTGTATTCACGTCATAGACTAGTACCTGTCATGTACTCACGTCATAGACTAGTACCTGTCATGTACTCACCCTGTACAAAAGAGGATTCTGTAACATGGACGTCCTCTGGACACCCAGGTAGCCAGTGGCTGTGGCTACGTAGGGGTTGAGGTTCGGATCCTCCGACAGCAGACAGTTCTGGTGGCAGCACGTGAGCTTTGGCTGGGAGCAGGGGTTTAGGCTGGCACGACAAGGGTGTAGTGTGTCACGCTCTACCTCACGCGGTTAGTTGCATCCTACCCACAACCACACCCACCACCATATCCACATACCACACTCACCACCATATCCACATACCACACCCACCACCACAACCACACCCACCACCACATTCACCTACCACACCCACCACCACAACCACACCCACCACAACATCCACCTCCACACCCACAACCACACCCACCACAACATCCACCTACCACACCCACCACCACAACCACAACCACCACCAGGTCCACAACCACTGCACCAGACCCGACCATTACGCCCCACTACCACACCCAACTATCTCGCCTCATCACTACGCCCAACCCCAAAGATTTGAACAGAATGTTATGTACATATGTTCATATATTAATGAACTATGACATAAAAACCTGAAAAGTTCACTAAACCATAAAGCAGACCGCCAAGAATAAATTCTTCACAGTCAGTCCAGCACCAAAAGGATGCCTATACCTTGGACGGTAAGGCTTTCAACAAAATAGCTTTTTTTTTAAAAAACACGCTGTTTATTTAGCGCCCTCCTAAAGATTCAAGGGCGCCGAAACTTCAAAGAGAGTCAGGGCCCTCTATGCATGCATGCTATTGTCACTACATCGCTATTTAGTTTTGATTCTGTTATAAAATCTAGGACAAAACTTTTGAAAAATCTAGTTGACACGACAACATAACAAGTAGCCTACCAGTCCGTTTGAGGTGTGATGTCACACGTCCGTCCCCGCGGACACATGGTACACTCAAACATGGGGCGGGCCGGCGTCTTTTTCGGCTTGCTGCACGCGCCCTGCGTGCTGCCGCATTCTTTGCGCATGCGCGAATCTATACAGTTTTTGGCGCGTCTTGTTTTGAATGGCGTCTCCATGCTTGAACTTGAAAACAAATGCGCTGGTAACCCAAGCTGTAGCAACAACTGAGCCGATCTAAATGTTTGGTCTGGTATGTACCTGGGTGCTCAGTTTACAAATGGTGTGGTGAAGGATGCTGGGATTAGTCCTGGACGTAGAAAACTGGACGTAGAAAACATATTGATCTCTATATTAGTACGGTTAGGGATTATGCACGTATCATTTTTAACACTAAATAGAACTTTTTTTAACAAACAGCCCCGCATCATATAACGTCATTTAACATTTATATAGGTCACTCTCGTTTTAAAATAACAAATCCAGCACCCCAACCCCACCCCCCCCCCCAACCCCTATACCCCACAGACATCATCACCAGAGCCAAGCAGTTCTCACTCATATTTCCGTTTTATTTTATCGTTGTTTACATCGTCATGTTCTAAATCCACCAATTCACCGGACACAAAAACCAAGGCATCATACACACAAAATGGAGACATTATCTTCCACCATCATAAAACAACGATTCCACTACTCCAATAGTTTTATATAGGGATGTTAAGGAGAAGAAAACTAAAGCCTCGCTGTGAACACGTTTTTAAAGGGAACAGGGCATTACCCCTTCCCCCCCCCCCCCACCCGGTCAATAACCTCCCCCACTCCCGACATAAGCTCTCGGATTAATTGCCCCCTGTCAGTTAGCATCCAGACAATTACCCCCTGGCGCCCCCGCCCGCTCAGAAGGACATTGCCCCCGGTCATAGATTAAGGTACAGTTTGGGTTAGGGCTAAAGTTTGGGTTTGAGTTAGCGCTAGGGTTAGGGTTAGTGTTAGGGTCAGGGTTAGGCTTAAACTAATTTTTAGGGTTGGAGTTGGGTTTAGTTTTAGGCTGAGTTGAATGCTTAGATTTAGGCTTTTTCTTAAGGTTAGAATTAAGGTAACATATAGGTCTAAAGTTGGGGTTAGTCAGGATTTTTTAGTTTTGGGGAGGGGGGTTAATTTCCCGAGGTTAATAGCTATGGGGGGGGGGGGGGGAGATGTCCGGGGGGTAATGTCCGGGGGGGGGGGTAATATAAGTGTGTGTGTGGGGGGGGTTATGTCCTAAACCTCGTTTTAAAAGAGTCGGTCGAGCAGAGGCGTAGCGACCCTTCCCGGCGCCCGGGGACATACTTCCAATTTGGCGCCCCCTCGAGAGCAAATTTTCGATTTGCACCCCCCCCCCCCCTCAAACTTTCAATTTGGCGCCCCCCCCCTAAGGTCGGCGCCCGGGGACATATGTCCCCCCCCCCGCCCCCCCCCCCCCCCCCTCGCTACGCTACTGCGGTCGAGCACTTGAGGAGCAGTGGCGTAAAGTGTTTCTTCCACACTTTTTTCTCCGGGGGGGGGGGGGGGTGAAATTTTCGGGGGAGGGGGGCGGTAGACTTTCTTCGGGGGGGGGGGGCGGACACTGTTCAAAGTATTTATTGTCTATATAAATTATATACATTTCATTTCGTTCGGGGGGGGGGGGGGGCGGTAAATTTTTTTCGGGGGGGGGGGGGGGGGGGGCTTCGTCCCCCCCGAAGCGATGCCTGGAAGAAACTCTGGTGGCGTAACAAATCAGCCGAGGGAGCGACATAGAGCAATTAACAACAAGATGGTCGCCTGAAACATTTTTGTTATTAAAATTCATTTAAATGTAGATCTAGAATCTATCGCTGATGATGAAATATGTTAAAGATAACTAGATCTAGATCTAGATCTAGATCTAGATTCTATATTCTAGATCTAGATCCATAGAGTTCCTACAAGTCTTAGTGAAATGAAAGACCACTCACAATATCAGTAGGAAGATTGTCTATTCCAGATTCAACTAAGGCCTAAGACATACGAGGTCTCAGTCCGCTGTGTAAAGATCTAGAAGTTTCACGAAGTAACTGAACATCGTACCGAGTACACTCGGCCTAGGGGCACGTCCTAAAAAACATCACCAAATAAATGGACGTGGTGTTTAGACAGTCAAGTAGGACACGGTGAGGACGTCATGACTCTTCCTGCTGTTTCACACTGGTGCTAAACGGTGCGGAGATCTGCCACGCTCAGCGAAGGCTGCTGGGAGGTGTGGGCCTGGGAGGTGTGGGCCCGTAGCCATCTTTCTTTGAACTAATCTAAAGCCTTTGTGTTTATTTAATCATCTGTTAAGCTAATATATTGTCCTTATATTTTTTTCTTTTCCCTATCTTTAAAATTTTGAATATTAAAAATTGAAAGAAGAGCTTTTTTTTTTTTAAATAAAAAAAGGCCATTATACAAAAAATCATAGCCAAAATTGTGGATTAAAAAAAAAAACTCTTATATAACGTTTTATACTTTTTCTGCGAATCACCACCCCTCATATTATGCAGTATTTCTGGGACGTCCTCCCACTAACTAGATGCTTTGGTTTATAAAGTAAAATATATCTATCCGCTAGTTGTGAAACTTTATTGGATATCAAAAAGAGAAGAATAATGTAAGCCAGTAGTCTTTACTTATTCATTTAACAATAATTTTAAATGGCAAACTTAAAAATAAGGACAAAAAATTAAAAGTCTAAAAATATTATATAACATTATCCTAGACCTTAATATACCCCTCATAACAAAAGGATGAACCATTCCATTAAAGAATTCCTGTCACTATTATATGCTCATTTCCTTAAAAAAGTAACGGTAACTCGTGTAGTTTAAAGTAGACAAACATTATGTTGGTCACTTCCCCTTAACTGCATTGGCTATGTCTTCTATTACCAAACCAACGGTTATTTTAATTGTTCCTTCAAAGTTACTCTACGTCAAGTTGTTTTTAAATTAATATTTAGAGAACAACATATAGATATCTAGACTAACAGAAAATAAGATTAACAAAGACATGGAAACAATAATTTAAAATAAAACACATTAGTTTGTTTATTAGGAATATACTTATCAAAATTTCATTTTATAAATATTATATTATAGTTACACAGCCAATCCATTAAATGACTATTGACTTGGCTCTAAAACGTAACGCTCTTATATTTAGGCAATCAAACAATATGATTAGTACTATAGTATAATTTTTTTTACAAACATTCAATAAAATAAAACGCTATTCCATCATTCACATTTTTGATGTATACGTTACAATAATTTTGACAATTAACGAAATGAGTCGTAATAATGAATTAATGTTGTTTGATACCACAATGGTCGATGTAGTTCCTGGTTACTATGACAACAGCTGTGATTTACAATAACAATATTGGCGGATCTGTCGATTTTCGTTCAGTATACATGCAGGCGCGTCCCCATATTTGTTGATCCGGCTGATTTCTTTCTCATTGACCGTGAAGACTCCGCTCAAGGCGTCATGCGTCACGGTGGCCTCAAAATGGCCGCCACCGGGGGCTGTGTGGAACGTTAATTGATAAATAGTGACGCCACTTTGGTGGGCGGCCCCGAAATCGATTTTATAAATCCCGCCATCAGCGTCTGTTTTTGAGAATTTGAGAACCTCTTTTCTAGTCTGTAGTTTGGAAGCGGAGGTGACGTCGAGTATAGAGAGCAGTGCACACCGGCTTCGGTAGGGAGCCGTGAAAGTGTTGATCTTATCTAACGCAGCTTGCAGCGCCGTTTGCGCACCTTCCTCGTACACGGACACCTTCTCCCACGCTAAACATGCGCACCAATGCGGCGCAATGCCCGCGTCGTCACAGGATCTGTCTAACGGGATTTCCCGAAACAAGCTAATCCCTCTTTTCGTTTTATCGCCTTTTCCGGACCCCCGGAACCGCAAAAAATCTTTGAACGTCTCGTGTAAATCAAACGGTGTTGTCAGCCGCTTGGAGTTGGCCCGTAGGTTGTCCACGGCTTGCGGGTACCTCTGCTGGAACCAGTCGGGGAGGAGCAGGGCCACGTAGGGGAGTCTCTCCTCCAGCTTGCCGGACCACGTGCCCCGGGCCTCGCTGTAGCGCGCCCCGTGGTCCCCCATGAGGATCAGGAGCGTCGTGTTGAGGTGACCCCCGGCATGCAGCTGTTGGACGGTGTCTCTCAGGTCATCGTCTAGCTGTAAGGACGAGAGGACACAAGTCATACAATGTTTTCAACTGTACAAGTTCTGGATCAATGTTTGGGAGATGAGGTTGTTTGTGTTATAGACGATTTATTTTCTATTCAATAAAGGAAATTAAAGAATTTAGTTTGATCACTTGACTACCCACTAAACAAGCTACACCCCCCCCCAAATAAAATATATAATCTAATATTTGAATAGTTTTTGCACCTCTTTATATCTTATTAATATTATTGTATGATCCAATTTTCAAACAAAAACCCTTTGTGTCTACTTCTGTCTTAGTAATCTTATTTTAAGCAAAGTACCCTTTCGAACCTGACGGCTCATGGGGCGGTGAAGTAGAGTTCACCTGTTTCTATGACCACGGCATATGAAGGGATAGTGTGGTCAGCACTGTGTCCAGCCGCCTTTACTTTCCCTAACGTTAGTCAGATACCCACATTGGAACTGGTTCTACTGACACGAACCTAGGATTCGAACTCGAGACTCTTGGATTAGATGTCGTATGCTCTACTATCTGACCACGCCTTTCCACATTCTTATTGTATGATATAAAATATAAACAAAAGGAACCCTTGGATCTGTCTCTACCTTAGTGGTCGTATTATATGATCCATATATGATTTAAGATTTAAACAAAACCCTTGCATCTGTCTCTAATCTTATTGTATGATATTAAAAAAACTAAACAAAACCCTTGGATCTGTCTCTACCTTAGTGATCGTATTATATGATGCATACATGATATAAGATTTAAACAAAACCCTTGCATCTCTACCTTGGTAATCTTATTATTGTCGTCGTGGCTCATGTCCACCAAGAAATGGAACAAAAATTTCCTCTTGTCCTTGTAGACACTGAAAATGTCCAGGAAATAATCGAACCACACCCGGCTGAACGTTCGAGAACCGAAACACTCCTGGAATGTTTTTCTGGTCACGTTCTGCGCCATTAGGTAGAAGGGTCGGGTGTAGAAGTCTGTGGGAGGGTGCTTGAAGCCCAGCATCCGGTAGTTGAAGGGCGCCGAGTGGGGCGCTGCATTGGCCCAAGAGGTCAGGTAGCCGGCGCGTTTCATTTCATGCCATATAAAGGGGAAATAATCCAGGGTTGTTGCCCTTGGAAAATTACGTCTGAAAGTAGAGGAAAAGTGGATGTAATTGATTACCGAGACATTTTTCATAACACTACCATAAGATATAACCAGTACCACTAGATCAAGGTAGAATCTGCAAGGACAGCACAAAAGAGGTCGACTAAGAAACACCGGGCGACGGGACCTAGAAGCTTAAACTAAAAAGATGGGCTACACATGGAGTTAGGTTGAGAAGATGGCAGAGGACAGAGGACACTGGAGATCTTTGGTTGGCGGCCCATACCCCAGCAGGGGGGGGGGGGAGGGAAATGATGATGATGAGACGATGTAATATCTTGGATAATTTTCTTGGGACTTTCTTTCTTTCTTATGGACATCGCCGTCTCAGTTGTCCCCATTAGTCAGACAGGCCTCAACAACGGCAAACTCCGAGTAACTAATGTCTTGGGACTTACAATCGATCTCTGAAATGCATCTAAAATAATCTTCCTCTCAATATTTTAGTATAACTATTAAATGTAACTATACTATATGTAACTATAATAATCAATTTCTGCTGTAATTTTAATAGGAAAAAAAATTTGATACTTTTAGATGTTTTTGGATAAGGCTTGCACTATTAAACTACGAAGAAAAGTAGAAAAAAAATCGATAGTATAAGATATTTTCAATAAACCGTTCATGTAACATTGATGTAAAAAAACTATCGATCAGCATTGATCTGCGATCCATGTAGTCACGATCGTACAATAGTCTTTTCTTCTGACGACTCCGCCATCTTAGAACCCCCCCCCCCCCCCCCCCACCCCATGGTTTCAGCAAGCTGTCGTGTCTAGATCTGTGTCATGTCATGAGGTGTTTGACCCTCGCTGTCTTACATCGTCTTACCGTGTCATGCATTATCTTTACGTTATCTTACATAGTCTAACTTCATCTTTACGTTATCTTACATAGTCTAACACTATCTGACATCATCTTACACCCTCTTACATCAGGTTACATTTACTTACATCATCTTTACATCGTCTTTAAATCGCCTTTACAACGCCTTTACAACGTCTTTACATCGTCTTTACATCGTCTTTACATCGTCTTTATATCGCCTTTACAACGTCTTTACATCGCCTTTACAACGTCTTTACATCATCTTTACATCGTCTTTACATCGTCTTTACATCGTCTTTATATCGCCTTTACAACGTCTTTACATCATCTTTACATCGTCTTTACATCGTCTTTGTATCGCCTTTACAACGTCTTTACATCGCCTTTACAACGTCTTTACATCGTCTTTACATCGTCTTTACATCATCTTTACATCGTCTTTATATTGTCTTTACATCGTCTTTACATCGTCTTTACATCGTCTTTACATTGTCTTTACATCGTCTTTACATCATCTTTACATCGTCTTTACATTGTCTTTACATCGTCTTTACAACGTCTTTACATCATCTTTACATCGTCTTTACATCGTCTTTACATCGTCTTTATATCGCCTTTACAACGTCTTTACATCGCCTTTACAACGCCTTTACATCGTCTTTACATCGTCTTTACATCGTCCTTACATCATCTTTACATAGTCTTTACATCGTCTTTACATCGTCTTTACATCATCTTTACATCGTCTTTATATTGTCTTTACATCGTCTTTACATCGTCTTTACATCGTATTTACATCGTTTTTACATCGTCTTTATATCGTCTTTACATCGTCTTTACATCGGTGACATCGTCTTTACATCGTCTTTACTTCTTTACATCGTCTTTACATCGTCTTTACATCGTCTTTACATCGTCTTTACATCAGTGACATCGTCTTTACATCGTGTTTACATCGTCTTACAACGAAGAAATCATTTTAAAAACTGTTTATCTGACTCTTGTTTGTTTGGCCCACTCAAAAATTTAAGAAATTATAGGTATTTTACATTCGAGATGTATTTGGCCTTTATTTGCCCAACAGCCGACCCAACAAAATTATTGTACAAAACGTTCTTTTTTTTTTACGCAGGATCTTTTGTGCCTGAAATCTACATTCCCCACCGCTAATTGAGAAACTTGAAACAATTAACCTGTGTGTGTATGGGGGGGGGGGGAGAGAAGTGGGGGGGGGAGGAGGGTGCTGACCTCATCGGACTGCCTGCTGTTTTCAGACTTAAGATTTTTCTTCAAATTCGCCAGTTTGTTCAATGACAAATCAACCGTTGCCCTTCTTGTATACCAGCCTTTAATTTACTTTCTTCACAGGTCTTGACTAAAGCAAGAGCTATAAGTTTTTTTTTTTTTTAAAACTCATCTTTATTGCTTAATCGCGAAAATTATCGAGCTAGTCATTACCCTCATCTTTCGACAATTCGATCGACCAATAATCAATCGCGAAAAGGTTAGATAAAAAGTAGGTGAACTGCATCACGTGATTAATTAATTACGACTGCCTCTTCTAGCTAAGCAAGTCACTAACGCCATGACCTGGGGTGGGTGGGGTGGAGTGGGGGGGGGGGGGGTCAGCTTATTTCGCATTTTTAAAATCAACCACTTTATTATATTTCGACTTCATACGTGTCCACTACTTGACATAACTAACCTATCACACCCATTTAAAAGAAAAAAATAATATTTCAAAGTTTTGAAAAGACTTTTAAAAGGTACTTTCCCAGGCAGTAGCGTAGCGAGGGGGGGGGGGGGGGCGGGGGCGGGGCGGTGGGGGGACATATGTCCCCGGGCGCCGAACCTTAGGGGGCGCCAAAATGGGTTGGAAAAATAAATTGAAAGGTTGAGGGGGTGCACATCGAAAGTTTGAGGGGGGGGGGGTGCAAATCGAAAGTTTGAGGGGGGGGGGGGGTGTGCAAATCGAAAAGTTTGTCCCCGGGCGCCGGGAAGGGTCGCTACGCCTCTGTTCCCAGGTAAAAAAAACCTAATACAAACTGGTAAATATGCTTCTAGTGTATGTGATATGTGCCGGCGTTTTTAACATATTTTGACATGACATTATGTAAGGTAGGCGTTTTGCAACTTTTGATTGAATGCTAACAGCGCGATCATGTTTCACCCAGCAGAATTACCAATAAAAAGTTGATTGATCTGGCACGGTTTGTGGACACTTGACGCTCAGTGAATGCTGGGTGTAGGAAAGTTATACGCGTTGTGCAATGTCAATTTAAAGTTATGTATGGGAGGTTACAGTTAGAAAGTTAGTGTTGAATGGTTGATGTTATGTGCTTAGTGTTGGGTTAGTGTTAGGTTAGTCATGTTAGGGGGGGGGGGTAGTGTTAGGAGGTTATAATTAGTAAATTAGTGTTTGTAGGCCTAATCAAAGTTGAGAAAATAAAAATCTAGTTTGGATTAGTAATTAGGACATTATAATGAACAATTCTGTTCACTGAAAGCCAAGCTACTTTTCTACCCATACATTGAACCAGATTGGTGTCACAAATGCCTTAAGTTTAACAATGCTACTGTTGTACTGAGCGTCACTGAAACAGTCACTAGACATGACAGGTTCTTATGTCGTTGTTGATCTAATGTAACTTTATGTCAGGTTTACATCACCAGATAATGCTAGATCTTACACAACTATACCCTCCTACACCCTTCCACCTAGGTAACATGACTTTAATAACAACTCCAACTTACTATAACACCCCTACATCACCCTAACACACAAACACCCCTATACCACCCCAATATCTCTATCCACCCTGACACATCAAACACTTCAACCTTACTCCAACACCCCGAAGCCACCCTAAAACCCTTACAACAATAACACCACCCTAACACCCCATCACCACCCTAATACCCTCTACACCACCCCCACCACCCCAATATCTCTACACCACCCCAAACCCCTACACCACCCCAACATCCCAACACTCCAAACCCCTACACCACCCCCAACACCCATACACCACCCCCAACACCCCTACACCACCCCCAACACCCCTACACCACCCCCAACACCCCTACACCACCCCCAACACCCATACACCACCCCCAACACCCCTACACCACCCCAACACCTGACACCCCCTACTCACCTGCATTCCGGCAGTTCCCACTCAAACTTGCCCGTCAACATCGGAAACATGACCGCCGTTGTCCCGTCCCCCACGATGTTGTGACCCTCCAGCTCAATGGCCATCAGCGTCTTGTGAAAATACTCCCTCGTCTTCTTCAACCTCCTCATCCACGACATCCTTGACATGGAATCGAACCCCAAAACAGCGATGCTTAAACCCTGGAACCCATTCTCCAAAGGCACTTCTTTTCTTTGAACCCTACCCGAAGTCACCGCCGCTCCTGCGTGTATCCCATCATACACCTTTATGCCATTCACCTTACAAACGATCCTAGAAAAATCGGACGGAATTTGAAACCCATCTTTAATATCCAAAATGGGCGGGGCTAGAGTGACATTATAATCTCCAACCCTAGATATGGGGTAGTAATCGCACGTGCCTTGTCTAGACAGCAGGTGCGCTGTAAAATGGACGCTTCCGTTGTACACAGTGACCAAGTTTTCCCGACCTTTACATACAAGGGGCGGGAACTCCGTGACGAGTTTCGCCATGACGGGGTCGTTGAGGTTCAGCTGAGGGTGGACGCAAGCCTGATGGTCCTTGTGGTGGTCTACTGGTTGGAAGTAGACGTCCACGGGTCTCGGCGGGAGAAGGTCTCGCCTGCTGGTGTTTCTGGAGTAGAGCAGCAACATGGCGGCGAACCACGTGATGCTGAATGACAGCAGGTTCGTCCTGGGCCTCAGCTGTTTGAGCGGTAGGTGGATCGGCCGTTTCCGCCATGTTGGGAAATTTATTTTTAGCTTCATAGATGGCTAAACACAAATTAGTCGAGGCGGTTGTTTAATGGTGGTTTTATGGCACACAGGTAACTTACAGACGTCAATGTAAGTGGTCGATTACTGGTAGCTTACAGACGTCAATGTAAGTGGTTCACTGGTAGCTTTAAAGACGTCAATGTAAGTGGTTCACTGGTAGCTTACAGACGTCAATGTAAGTGGTTCACTGGTAGCTTACATACGTCAATTTAGGTGGTTCACTGGTAGCTTACATACGTCAATGTAAGTGGTTCACAGGTAGCTTAAAGACGTCAATGTAAGTTGTTCACTGGTAGCTTAAAGACGTCAATGTAAGTGGTTCACTGGTAGCTTTACAGACGTCTATGTAAGTGGTTCACATGTAGCTTACAGACGTCAATGTAAGTGGTTCACTGGTCGCTTTCCAGACGTCAATGTAAGTAGTTCACATGTAGCTTAAAGACGTCAATGTAAGTGGTTCACTGGTAGCTTTACAGACGTCTATGTAAGTGGTTCACATGTAGCTTACAGACGTCAATGTAAGTGGTTCACTGGTCGCTTTCCAGACGTCAATGTAAGTAGTTCACATGTAGCTTAAAGACGTCAATGTAAGTGGTTCACTGGTAGCTTTACAGACGTCAATGTAAGTGGTTCACTGGTAGCTTAAAGACGTCAATGTAAATGGTTCACTGGTAGCTTACAGACGTCAATGTAAGTAGTTCACATGTAGCTTACAGACGTCAATGTAAGTGGTTCACTGGTCGCTTTCCAGACGTCAATGTAAGTAGTTCACATGTAGCTTAAAGACGTCAATGTAAGTGGTTCACTGGTAGCTTTACAGACGTCTATGTAAGTGGTTCACATGTAGCTTACAGACGTCAATGTAAGTGGTTCACTGGTCGCTTTCCAGACGTCAATGTAAGTAGTTCACATGTAGCTTAAAGACGTCAATGTAAGTGGTTCACTGGTAGCTTTACAGACGTCAATGTAAGTGGTTCACTGGTAGCTTAAAGACGTCAATGTAAATGGTTCACTGGTAGCTTACAGACGTCAATGTAAGTAGTTCACATGTAGCTTACAGACGTCAATGTAAGTGGTTCACTGGTCGCTTTCCAGACGTCAATGTAAGTAGTTCACATGTAGCTTAAAGACGTCAATGTAAGTGGTTCACTGGTGGCTTACAGACCTCAATGTAAGTGGTTCACATGTAGCTTACAGACGTCAATGTAAGTGGTTCACTGGTAGCTTACAGACCTCAATGTAAGTGGTTCACTGGTAGCTTACAGACCTCAATGTAAGTGGTTCACTGGCAACTATCGTTTAAGTGGTTGCTCTCAGCTAGGTTTACTAACGTCAGTGTAAGCTGCTCCCACGTAAGTTTACACTCGTCAGTGTAAGTGGCCGCTCTCTGGTAGCGCCACACATTTGTTAGTCCATCACCATCTCCCCTCGTTGTATACGCTGAAAGGAAATTACGTATTCAACAAAGGCTGTTTTTAAATATTAAATAATGTAGACGCAAGATAGAGTAGGAAAAAAAATCAATATGTCAGTTGTTAGGTTGTATGTTGTTTCAAAGTATCACTATGTTGGTGGTAAAGTTGTATGGCGTGCAGCATGACGCGCCGGAGCAGCCGGTGGTGTAACGCCCCCCCCACCCCCAACATACAAAAGCGTTCTTTTGTGTGAAGCTATCTTTGGTTGTAATGTTTTGTCTGAGATATTGTTTTTAATTGACCATCTTGCTCGGGGGCATTTTGTCGCAGTCCTATTTGTCAGGGTACCATTAGGAGTGTTCTATGATGCGGAGATTGTGCTGTTGTTTTAATGCCCGTGAAGGCAGGTCAAGACGAGTATAACAAGAATTTTAAATTAATTTTTATAATCATCATCGTCGTTTCCCTTCGTGTCCAAGACAAATGGGGCAGATGAAGCAGAGTTAATGTATCTTAATGACCTCGGCATATTAGAGGATAGTGTGATCAGCATTATTCCCAGCCGTATTTATTTCACTAACATGAATCAGGTACACTTCAGAGCAGGGTGGACTTAAGGACGTCTTACAGTCATGCCCGAGATCCGAACTCCAGACTTTTGGGTTAGCTGACGTAAGCTCTACCATTCGACTATACGCTAGCACACATTTTATAATCAAGTAATGGAAAGTGGCGTCTTGTTGAATGTTGCCCCTTAAACACGACCTTGACATATGACCCGGAAACATATCCAGACCTTAGACATTGTTCCAGCAACACGCCCCAGCCCCTAGACATGTTTCCCAAAAGACATGCCCCAATGTCCAGAACATATGTCCCAGTCCTATGTTCCAAGTATGTTTCAGAATAGCGTACACCTACAGCCTATTTTATAACGTCTTCATATAAATTAAACTTTTACAAATTCGTTGAATGCAAACCATTTTAAAAACCCGTCCAGTTGGAGGGGTGAAATAAACAAATATATTTTACACAGCAATCTCTGCCAGAGAAAACCCTTACAGTCAGCAACTGTAGCTAAGCCCCATTGAAGCCCTTCTAAGTCCTTTCGAAGCCCTTTGAAGCCCTTCAATCTCTCTGTAGTTCTTAGCGCTTTATATAACAGCTTTATCGCTGTTGTCAGTTTCAGCTTCAGTTAGAACAGCAATTAATCAAATTAATGTTGACTTATACATGATCTAGAGAGGGCGGGTTATCTAGCACCAGCAGATACCGACTAATCAGAACTCGAACCAAAGATCTTTATAATGGTGGCGTGCATTATGTGAGTGATTGATTTTATTTTAGGGATTGTAAATTCCAAATATTAATTTGACAAGATTTTGAGTGAATCAAAGCCACTGTGAGATTTTTAATTTTATCGAAATCTAAGTCTACTAATTTTTTCAGTAGCCCCCAGAAGATATGTAATCTTGTATTACATCTTGTTAAGGCTTGAACAAAAAATAACGGGTTTCTTTTTGTTTTATGAATCAGTTAAAGAGCTAAGGTGAAAACATTGTTAGACAAAAGTAGTGAATAATGAGTAAATGAGATCTTAATTTAATTATAAAACAAAGATCAAATACCCCGGAAATCTTTTGGAAGAATAGAAAGGAAAAAAGACAGTACATTTAATTATATAAAAGTTAAAATTTTGAAACTAAAAAAATAGCAGGTTACCTCATTCAATACGTTGCTTCTTGAATTCATCATCTTTTCCCTTCGAACGGGACAGATGAAGTCGAGTTGATCTGTTTCAGTGGAATAGTGTGGTCAGCACTATGCCCAACCGCCTGAGTTACCCTAACGTGAGTCGGGTACCCACCAGAGCTGGGTGGACTCAGGGACGTTCTACGGACTCGAGCTCGAGATCCGACCCCGAGATTTTCGGGTTAGCAGTCGAAAGCGCTTCTTTGTTTAGATGAAAGTAAAACTTTTATGCTGTGACCTGAAGTATCTAGGAACAGATGGAGTAGAGTCCGCCTAGACTGGTGACCACGGAATGTACTTTTACCACGCTGTTGACCGTCTTTAGCATAGATATACCGAGACTTGACCAGTACTCGAACCACAGCCTACAGGGTCACATTCTCTGACGCCCGGCCACGACTCCACACGTCCAAATCCGACAGGGTTATGCGTCCTGCTCACACACGTGCATACAGCAAAAAAACGCACGCGCGTAACCTGCCCGCACTAAACTCACCTGTCATGACGGCACTGAGATGTGTTTTAAAATGCACGTGCGTCAACTGCTCACTGGGAGACACCTGTACCATCGTGAGTAAAACATTCATTGAGTGCTCACGGACACGCGAGGGTGCACGTGCACGGCTTTAGCCGTCTCACGGCAGGGTCCGGAACCGTTGGAACGTTGCTAGGTGCTGGCTGGTTATTAGAGTCGTCGCCCCTTTTTATTATTACCCTGTGACGTTTTGTAATTTCTATCGGGGAGATAGGAATTGCTTTATGGTGCTTGGTGTAATGTAGATTAGAGCAGGGAACGTTATGTACACAAACCCAGGGAAGTATACAAACAATGGATTGGTTTAGGCGCCGCTTTAGAAGACCCCAATATACGCACAATAGACATACTAGGGCACCGGTTAAAGGGTTGTCATTTATCAAACAAGAGACAGACTCGAGCACCACTATATAGGGCACCAATTTACTCACAATACAGAAGGGGGCACTGTTTTATAGGGCACCAATTTACCCACAATACAGAAGTGGGCACTGTTTTATAGGGCACGAATTTACCCACAATACAGAAGTGGGCACTGTTTTATAGGGCACCAATTTACTCACAATAGCCAGAGGCACTGCTATATAGGGCACCAATTTTCCCATAATTGAAAGAGTGGGGCACCAGTTTACACGCAATATACAGACTATACACATAAAAAATAAACTGTTACACCTCTACCAACAAAAGAACAGAAACAAGCAACATCTTGACTTGATCTACAAACCTAAATTTGATTTTCAAGTATTGATCTCTTCTCGTCCGAGAATTGAATCCTTGTTAGACAGGAAGTTCAGCTGTTCATTGTAAACCAATATCAGAATTTCAGGTTCAGGGTAAAACTTATAGCTATCAGTACATTTACAGCTCATTAAAATTAGCTGCTGTTCTGCATCTAACAACATCACTCTAAGCTTTTTAAAAGTCATTATTAACAGAGAAAAATACCCTAAAATTTCTAACCGGTTTTACAATACATAAATCTAACCTCAATACCCCTAACCTTAGCTGCGGACCCTATATTACGGAGGATATATTTACCTTTATTTCAATGTAAATACCAATCATCACGCTCATATGCTGCTGTTTGAAACAAAAGAAAATGAGGAGGAAAAAACAAAAAAACTTACCACTAAAGTAAAACCTACTAATTTAGTTATAATTAGTCATCCGACATTTATTTTATAATCGTTTTTTAACAACGTGTCAAGTTTTAATTAGTTAGAAAACATTAAAACAAGGATGTTGTTAAACGCGACATGGTAGGTTAAAATCAAGGTTTTCTGAGA